CCCAGCAGAAAAGTAAAAAAAAAAAAAAAAAAAAAAGACTTAATGAGGAAAAAAAAAAAAAAAAAAAAAAACATGAATTTACACAAAAAAAAAAAAAAACATGAAACAACATGATTAAAGTCCTAAGTAGGAGAACAGTTAAAAGGCAGGTTTTATAAAAAAATATACTTGTAAAGTGAATTTCTTAACACTTACATCAATGAACACTGGTGCCATAGCTAAAATGACCTATTGACACTTACATTCATATAGCCACATGGAAATGACATATATTAATGGCACATAGAAAATACGTTTTTATACCTGCAGACCCTGTTCCTTGTATCTCAAATATAAGCACACTCAAGGCTAAGCCAATCAATTCCAGTGTTTTAAATGCTAAGACCTAAATACAAAATTCAGCGTATCTCTGTAGAGATGTATCTTTACAAATTTAATATTCATGAAACACTTAGCCTGCTCTATTGAAGCAACACATATCCAACAATGTTACATTGTTAGTAGGAATTACACCAAACTTTGTCCCACTGTGTTACAAGGTAATTTACTGTGCACTACATTTAGTCCAATAAATCGAAGCTGTGCTGAAATACCTGCTGTGAAAAGCAATTTGAGGTGGGACTTTTTTTCATTATATCCTCTCCAGCTCCAACTGCTCTGTGATTCTACAACACTCACGTGCTGCCACAGCACACATGGCAGCTGTGACATGACCCAGAGTACCAAGAGCAAACTTGTGGCAATGAAGGACAAAGCGTCTGGCAAAGGTTCCTGAATATATCCAAGATCACATACACACTCCGTTCACAGAGGATTTAAGGAGACCCGACAAGGCAGTTATAGAATCAATGCTGTAAAAGAACTTAGGGTCATCAAGACCAAATGTCAACCTACCACTGCCACTGTAATCCCTGAACATCTAAAACACATCACCGAGCACCAGGTACATTCACGAGCGCCAAGTACAGAGCTCGATGGTGTCACCCCGCTGCCTCCCTGGCCCCACCGCGCCCAAACCCCCGGGCTGTCTCCACCGCCAGGGACATGCAGCAGCCCAGCCCCGAGCCGAGGGAGGCGAGCGGCCCCGGCTCACCATGGTGCCCGCGCCGGCCCCGCCAGCCGCCGCTGCCGCCCGGCTCGGCCCCGCCGCCGGCACATAAATCCGCCCGCTGCCGCCGCACAGCGCACCCGCGGGCGGGCACGGCGGGATCCCGCCCCAGCAGGGCCGCGGCTGTCCGGCCAGCCGCCTGCGCGGGCGGCGCCCCGGAGCGCAGAGGTGCCGCTGCGCCGGACAGCCCCGGCCCCGCCGCGCCGCCCGCGCCGGCTGCAGACAATGCGAGGAGGCAGCGGCGCCCGCCGCGGCGCACGGCCCACCGGCCCCTTGCAGACAGCCCTGTCAGGCGCCGCGGAGCCAGCCTGTCCCGGCAGGGCACCGCCGCCGCACCAGCCACGTGACGCGGGAGGCCGCCCCGGCGGCGGAGTTCCGGCAGCTCCCGGCCCCGCGCGAGGCGCGGCCCCGCCGGAGCCCCGCGAGAGCCGCGGGCGGAGCGGGGACGGGCCCGGCCCGGCCCGGCGCCAGCAGAGCCCGGCGGAGGAGCTGAGGGGGAAGGGCGCGTGCGCATGCGCCGAGGTGACGGCGCCCCGTCCCGGGCAGGCGCTGCGCTTGCGCAGCTGCGCGGGCTGAGGGCGGAAGGGCGGCCGCGGCTGCCTGATGGGAGGGCGGCTCTCCGAGGAACCGGCGGAGTGTTGTGGTGTTCTGCTCCTTGTAGAATAGCCGGTACTGCGCACCGCATGGACCTGTCCGAAAGGGACAAAACCGCACAACAGTTTTGTCGTAAATCTTCCCGTTTTAAATGCGTCGCTGTGGTCCCTTAATGTGTGAGCTGGAAACAAATAGGAGCATTCTGCTTGAATAGATAAATAGTATTTCTGTGGAAAATACTTGACGTCTGTTTGTATTTTGTCAAGCTTTGTCTGCCTCCTGAGAAACCCAGGAGGGCAATCACGGGATGGTTGTGAAAAACGTCAATCACTTGGTTTTTAAAATTTTAAAAGTTTAATAATAATGAAATGGTCATAAAAATAGTTATACAATTAGAGTAATAAAATTTAGAGTTAGAACAGTTACAAGACAATAAAAAGCAAATAATTACGGATGTCCGGATGCTCTTGGACACTTTTGCATGCCTTGTGAACAAAGGAATAACCTTAAAAGCAATAGCCTGTTGCATATTCAAATATCTCATACATGATGCATAAATTCCTTGCAAAAATTCTGGTTTTTGTCAACTTCTTCTTAATCTTGTGGTTCCAAAAAGACGGAGAGAAGGTGGAAGAATGTTTGTCTTTTCTGATAAGGAGGCCGTAAATTTTTATGGGCCCCCTTCGCTGACATCTCTGTGTGAAGGGTTTATTGATTTTCTCATCTTCCTGCAAATCCTATATTGCAGTCTCTATTTTAACATTATGTTGTAACCTAACGCTACATTTGACACACTACTTAAAAGAATTAATACAGCATAACTTTCGAACATTACATGTACAATATTCATCATAACATTTGCGAAAAGCCAATCATAAGATGCGCATTTTTCACAATGGTGATCCCATTAGTGCCCATTTTCTCAAGTTTTGACACAGCAACCCATTGCTCTTCACTGGTGAGTGTGGTTTTGTCCCTTCCCTCCTTCCCTCTTAAAAGCACTGTCAACGAGCCTCGCTACCTCCTGTGCTGCAGATCTTTTTCTCCTCTGAGACATCCTGTGAGATGTCAGTAAACCAGGTGTTGAGTAGATCCTTTCATGGTAAAAAAGCCCCAAATTCTTCCAATTATACCCAGCTCTGAGCCGCATATTGACTTCATATATCTGCCTATTCCTATCAATATTGTTCCTTTTTACTAGAAGGATCAAGGAAGTCAACACTTGTATTCCTGATAGTGATTTGAGCAATAACAAAGCATGGTAACAGTAAATATAGGAATTTCTCACTGCTATAAACTAACTCCTATGCTAGGGCAGGGCAATTTAAGAAAGTTTTTTTTAGGCACATCCTAATTACAAGGTTCAGTGTGAGCATTACTCTCTGAAAAATATAATTAAGGAACTATATTTTTAAAATTGTATGCTAAATGGTGCATAATATTTTGTTTGATAACATGCCTTTAGTCAAACACTTCAGCTGATGTTATAGATTCAAAAGGCAAGGGAAGAGAACAAATTTTTTTACCAGTGTCTAGAAGTTAATTTAACTGGTTGTTGCATGCACATCTGTAACATCATTTACATGGCAAGAAAATAACAAAGAATTTTTAAACGTGGCTTAATACTTCAAATTCTGCAGTTGCAGATCTAGAACAACTATATAATCTCATATTAACGAGGAAAAATGTAAACTGGTGATTTTTCAGTTTATACGTTTTTGCAGAATTAACTGAATCTGTTAGAGTTAGTGATCCATTTTCAAAGATGCAAGCTCCCCATGTATGCTTCACATTAAAAAAGTAAAACCTAAGCAAAGCAAAAAACACCAAAAAAATTAGGTTTCAGTCTTTTAAGAAGTTTCACAAGGACTGAAAGGACCTTTATTTAAGTTCAGAATAGTATTTTTCCTTCTTCAAACCCTTAAATGTAAAATATGTGCAATTTTAATTTACATTTTTTCATACAGTTTTTTTCTAAAATTTATGTTCATATTCTTGTTTTGATCATGTAATACAGAGAATTTAAAGAAAAGCAATTTTTAAAATCATAAGTAATTTTTTTCTTTTTTTCAACAGATATTTTTGTTATACTAAGATTACATTTTGCAGGGACAGATACAATAAAAAATTTAAGGTTTTTCTTACATTTTTTATTGGTCTGATGGTTTTACAGAACTATCTGGTGCAAACAGATAAGAATGGGACTAAGACAATTAGGATATAGGAATTTTTAATTAATTTGAACATATTAATTGTGCTACTTGAAAGTGATGGGACAAAGTGTTTGAATTTAATTGTCTAAAAATAGTCAGCTAAAACTGTCTTAGATAATTTTTCAAAGCATTCTAATTTAAAAGGGAGCAGATTCCTGACACTTCCAGTGCAATTGCAGAACATATTAATAAATTAGTATCAATATTGTCTAACTGTGTGACTTATTTACTACATTCTCATGAGAAAGATTAAGTTGATCTTGCCCTCTTACAATATTCTGCATATTCTTAATGACCTTAATTAATATGTATACTTTCACCAATAGCCCAACTTTAATACTAGTCCAAGTGACACTATTTTGCAATAGTAAGTCCAAAGTACAATGAATTATAAATCTTGCAGAATACATCCAACTTGTTGATTACTTCTAAAGAGTCAATACATCACCTGGGTACTGTGAGACCCAACGTTGCCCCTAGAAGAAACTCAGTGTAATAATTCATGATATTGGTGTATATAAACACACAAACACACTTCTATTCTTACAGCTATGATTTGATCTAAGTTCAGTGGAGTTTTCCTTGATTTACTTCCCTCCGACATAAAGCTTCATAGTTGCATGACATGAAGATGGTATTTGCATTAGTCTCAAAACAAATATTTAATAAAATATGAAATGCATACAGATTTGTCACTCAGGCTCACAACTTGAAGGTTATTGAGATCCTTGGACTGTATTTATGTCCCATATGTGTGAAGCATGTATGAACATATTATTTATACATGTTCTGATCAAACACTTCACATGATATGTCTATTTAAAACTGTGGTTTTGCTCTACACCTGAACATAGGAGGAAGATACAACTACGTCTTTTCTATACAATGCTCTTAAATACAATTATTTCACTTCATATTATTTTTGAGGGGAAATGGAGTTTAGAACTAACAATGCACATTTGTTAGGATTCCAAAACAGATCAACAGCTTCAACATCTAGAAAAAAAAGCCAAATACAATAAAATAACTGTGACTTAATATGATTTAATATCAAGAAATTAGTTAAGAGCAGTGGGAAAAAAATCCTTGATCCTTTCTTCTTAGAAATTTTAAATTATTTTATAATATAACTGTTGTAGCTCCTTTGAATTAGGTCTATTCATCACAGCCTGGATGGAGAAACAGCTCTTCCTGAATACTATAGAGCCATAATGTGAGGAAGGCTTGTGACAGAGGACAGAGGATAATAAAAACCTACAGACCCCATTCAAGAGCCTGTTCCTGCCATTGTCTACAAATTCTTTTGTTTCTTTACTGAAACAACGGGTACCACTTCTTGGTCTGATATACACTGGGATGCAGCATCCACATCTTCAAAGTGGTTTTGGGTCTCATCAGGCAAATTTTGACCTTCAGCTATGCCTTGCAGAGCTGCTGCCAAACAATGTGAATTGTCTTCCTATACATTGTATGGAGAGGCTCTGGTGGTACTTCACTTCTTCCCTACTCTCACACTTTTTAGGTGTTTCATATGAAGGAGACACAGCAACTGAGGTTTAATCTCACTTCTGACACAGCTTCACTGTCTCTTCCTTCTTCCTCTATTGTACAATCTGCAGCCACTCCCTTTCCAGCCCAGCAAATCTAAAAAACTTTACACAGAAGCTGTGGGCTGAGGGGGTGTCCTACCCTGGGGCATCAGGTGGTTAAGCCATGTCTTGAATGGCTGCAGGAAGAAGTAAAGCTCAGAGAGGTAAAGGTGTGACATACAGCTATTTTCCTATTCTCCCACTGAATTACCAAAGAACAGGTGGGAGATACCTCTGACTACACTGGTTTTTGTGTCATGTCCACATCCTGTCCTGCCCATACTATTGCTTTCTTAAAGATCTCATGAGATGGGCAAAGCTGAGAAAGCCCCAGGGACTGCAGACCATAGTATATTTTGGAGCAGACCTTTAAAGATCATCTAGTACAACTCCTCTGAAATGAGCAGGGACATCTTCAAGTTGATCAGGTAGCTCAAAACTCTACCCAAATTTACCTTAGATATTTCCAGGGATGAGGCACCTAGCAACTCTGGGCAGTCTGTGTCAGGGCTACACCACCCACTTCATACAAAAAGTCTTCATTATGTCCAGTCCGAAACTAATCTTTTTATAGCTTAAAACCATTTCCCCATCCTATCACTACAGGACCCACTAAAATGTCTGTCCACACATTTCTTTAAAGCCCTCTTTAGGTCTTAAAA